TTGTAAATTTTATTAAACAAACAAACATTACCATTAAAGTATTACGTACAATTTTATGCTTAACGGTATATTATATACATATATTTAAATAATATACTAAGAATGCATAATACAACTTTAAATGTTTTTTGGAAGAAAAAAAATATGAAAATTTGACTTACATTTAGATATTAAGAAGCCTTTAAGTAGAAAGTGTAATTAAAAATCATTAAGCGGATATTGTTAATGATTTAAACGCATTTTCTATAAATAAATAATAGAATATTAACGTACGGAGAATTTTATTTAAAACATCAATCGGATACTTTGTTATTCTAATAATAATTTTGCTATGATTATATTATAAAGATTTCATATTGGTCAGCAAAAAATTTTCTCTAAGTTTCCTATTTCTATCATATCCTATGTGAACACGGAATCTCATCGAACTCGTCTGACTCATTCATTCGATCATTCAGACTGTTTCGGTCTTGCTTGACGTTAAATTGGTATACTGCATCACCAGTTTATTTTGTGAATTGATTGCCTCTTTGAAAGAAAGAGACTAATAGACTGAAAATTGAGGGGACGAAATTGGATGTTCGAATATGTAAGAAAAGGAGAAAGACAACGATGAAATTGGAATTCGTAATTATAAACATTTTGTACAAAGAATATTACCATTTATAAAATATTGATAAGATATTGATTGATGAAATTGCATCCAATAGATTTTTCATTTTTCTAAGACAATGTTCCATGTAATATTACCTGGAATAATGAAAATTAATGTACGTTTAGGGTTTGGGGGGGGGGGGGGGGGGGAGAAGAAAAAAAATAATAAAATAAAGTATTACGAGAAAAAGAAAATATTTAATATTTGTAAGATGTATGTTTTATCGATAAGACATCAAAGTGCAACAAGTTTGTGTTATTGACAGGTATTTTACATTTTAATTTCATTATATTTCATTGAAATTATCATACACCAACTTATTTCTATATTATGAAAATCAAAAATATTTCAGAGATATTAGGTATAGTTACTCTAGAAAAAATACAGAATTATGATGAAATTAGTTTATAGAAAAAAAATAAATTTGATATCTGATGTTTCTTATTGATTATAAACATTGTTATTGAATAAAGTATAAAATTTGTTTAAACGAGGAAAAATCAGAAAGAACTTACACGTTTAAATGAAATTATTTTACACATTTGTCCATAAATATATTTAGATCGAACAATATCGTGAAACTAAAAAGACCACAGTCTAATGATTGTTAAAAAGTAATGAAATTCGTCAGAGTCAATCATACGATGAGGATCCTGTAGTTGAAAAGTCTAATAGTTTATAAAACAAAAGTCTATAATAATGTGTAGATGAAAATTATATTTCTATCTATAATAATAATGATAATGATAATAATAATAACGATAATAATAATTTGTATGTATAATTTTCGTAGTAATCGGTAGTTTTATCTAATATCTCGTAATTTATTATTTCATTATTACCTTAAGTATGCACCTTTAATTATTTGTAATAGTTAAACATTTAATTTATTGTTTAGAATTGATTTCATTGGTCATTATTTATAATGATCTACATGCAATTGTTTTTATAATTAATTATTTCATTTATTAATTAATTTTTTTTTTTTTTTTTTTTTTTTTTTTTATAAAGTTAATAATATTAACTTAAAATATAATAAAAGTATAATAATAGATAAAAGCGCCTTATTCTCTCTATCGAACATATTTATTTGTATCATTCTACTTGTGAATGTCGTATGCATTTGCATTTCGAGTCGACTTTTACACCGAGGAGTGATGTTATCATTATTTTTTTCATTAAGTTTAGTTCGAAAACTTAAGAATTTCATAAAGTATTTTTCTAATAAGTGTGCTTATCGCCGCATACGATGTTAATAAATCTTGCAAGTCATTTTGTATTATCTAACAGACGCAGACGTAGGGGAATATATAAGACTATATACTTACATTTGGAGAATGCTTAGATGGCGAAGGACGGGAAACGAAATTTGAGAGTAAAGAGCGATGAAATTGACGCACTAGACAAGCACTTAAATCAAGCGCAGAATATTGTTTTTATTGAAGCACTTATATGAAAACAGCATTGCCATAAGTATGGTGCGGCGTTAGCACTGCCACCGATTAACATCCTTTGCGGCGGCGAGTCCTGAGGGGGCAAGGACACCTCAAGGCAAACTGACGAATCCTTGCAGCATTAACATCGAAATTGCATTTGCATCCGCGCGAAGAGGCACTACAGCCCCATCCCAATCGAGGGTATCGTTGCTCGTGATTCGGGGATGATGACTTGGTCGGCGCAAAGGAGCCACTGAACTCGCTGAAACATTCATGAGGCTCGTTCGGCACTACGTATGGCTCTTCGTCTCGGCAGCGGTGGAATGTCGCTTGATCGGAAAAAGTAGCCCGAGTAGTGGTTGTGGCTTACGAATCAGCGGTTGATCTAATGGAGTTTGTCCATCTCTGGATTGTTTATCAATGACTTTGTTTGGTTGTCAGTAATCTCGATGTTTATTAACTCCGCGATGTTCCTTTAACAATAGGTACACAGTTGGATTAATCGATTTATTCTAAAATGTAATGAAATTTATGATTTAAAATGCCATATGGCATAGCGTATGTGTAAATTTTTTATCCAATACTACACGTGTTAAGGTCGTAATATAAATATTCTCATTCGATAAGATTCAACAAGAAATAAATAATGACTGGTGTGCTATATTAAATTTTTGTTTTTTTTTTTGTTTTAATTACTTCACTTATTTATTGATTAATTAATTTACTTCATTTACTTTAAATATTAAGGTTATATAATTCGCTTAGGATTTCATTATGTGATACTTTCAATAATAAAATGATAAGGAAGTAACGACTACTTTTACAAATCTTCCTTCGTTATCCATATGAAATTAAATACAAAAGCTTTTGTTTCCATATTTTATACGAATATATATTTCTTCTTTATACTAGAGCTTTAAGAAGTTTTGATGCTAAATTAACGACATGGCATTATTTGTCATTTAATAATACTTAAACAATACGTCTCTTGTAATTTTCTATCTTATAATTCTTTCTTCTTATAATTTTAATCATGTTTTTAAGAACTTAATAAACACATAAATTACATTTCAAGCAATGACATTTGTCTTTTTAATTTTAATTATTTAGAATTTAGCTTTTACAAGCAAAATTAATGATACATCGATGTGGATATTCGAATTCATCGTACAAATATCATATTTACATTGCATTAACTGTTACATTATTTACCATTTATTTTATCTTATTTGTCTTATGCTAATTAGAATTTAATAAAATATTAATTAGTAAATTAGTTCCATTTATTTACTATAAGCGGGTTAATTTAAATTATGTCGTATTATCGTAATGCTTCTTCTTGTTCTTCTTTCTATTATCATTATCATCATCATCATCATCATCACCATCATCACCATCATCATCATCATCATCATCATCATTATTATTATTATTATTATTATTATTATTATTATTTTATTATTTATTTAATTAAATCAATTAATTTTTCCACCGTGCTATATTTCTCCTTCCTTCTCCTCTCACCTTCACCTTCACCTTCTCATCCTCATTGTTTAAAGTAGCGTAGTAGAGATTGTGTGTACGTCTATTGGCAGCTCTTCTGCTGATTGGTGTTGGTTACTTTCATTGTTGTCCTTCAACGCCTCCCTCTTCATCCTTACGGTTACTATGTTGATTATACGCAGTACAGGTTCCTATATCCCTTCATGGCAATTGGAGTGTTGGTGCGGGATAATCTGTATAAATTTATCCTGTCCCTCGATCGCTACTGACAGTCCGTATACTTTCTTCTCTTCTATTCGTATTTTATTTGGATATTCTATTCTGTATTTTTCATACGGCTATCTCATAATTTATTTTAAAAACGCAAAGTCAATAAGCGATCATTCCATTTTCATCGTAATTGTTCTAATTGAAATAACGATTAGAGCTTTTTGCATTTCTTGTCAAATCTTATATTATATGTTATATTATAATTATTAAACTATTACTTTTAAATGAAATATATTTATATGCATGTATTAGTGAATCCAGTGACTCGGTGGTAAATAAATAATATAATTATGGCACAAGATATTACGCGGTTTTATGTTCCATGCTGTATTCTCAGTTTTAATAGGCTTTAAAAAATCTTGTAAAATTCATCAAATGCAGTGCGTTTTATAACAGGACACAGTATAATACAATAAATAAATAAATATATATATATATATATATATAAAATAATCGTATACATTTATAAGTTTTCAAGTCATAAAATTTGACATATAATTGAAGAATGTTTTTACATTTTTCATCAATTGAAAATTTACTAGTTTTCATGAAAAATCTTGGCTAAGCCGAAGTAACTCAAATTTCTTAAAATCTATAATACAATTATATTTTTCTATTGTAAATTTTAGGAAAATGATCGGTTAACGTTTGGACATTAACCCTAATAAAGTTCTAAATATAATTGTAAATTACATAGTAAATAAAATTGCTAAAATAAATTATAAAATAAAATTATTTAAATTACATTGATAAGTATATTTGTTAGGCTTTCCATTGAATCCTTTGTATTTAAATCTGTGAATTTCAAATAAATATTGTAGTGAACTCTTCAGAGCAGGCTTGAAACCAATTTCAAGTTGCCCCGAAGGTTTAAAAATGTAATGAACTCTACACGATATAAATCGAACGTACCCTATATGAGAACTTGGCAAATAAGTTTATTTTTAAATTCGTTTTTTAAGAGCATTCACTCGCTCGTACATTAAAATTTCTTCTTAATAATCAGTTGAATTATTAGTGTCAGCTTAGTTATACATGTAGTAGGGAAAAATAAAAAAAAAAAAAAAATAAAAAAATAAAGAAATAATGCGAATCATGGATTGGAATTGCAAAATTGAGCTATGGTGTTTTGTATCTCAGAATTCAGACTTCTCACCACTGTGAAAACGTCATTCGCATTGGATTCAATGATTGGAAGAAAAATCGAAAATAGAAATTGCTGTTGGATTTATGGAAATAAGGGTGCATTTGTACCTGAGTTTATCCTCCATACAATGTAGGGCAGCTTCGAGGCTTTGAGACTCCATCTTATATAACTCGCATTTATGTTCGGCTATTTTCAATTTATTTTGCGCTTCTTTTTGCTCGCACTTCAGTTCATTCAGCTTTTCCCTTAGATTCAGTATCTCATTTCTCCATTTCGTCGTTTTGACCTCGTCATGTTTTTCATCTGTGACCTGCGACATAATGTCCGTACCTTCGTCGATATACTCCGAACAGTGATTGAACGCCTCTTTTGCCTCTCGGCTAGCGCTTTCAGTTTCTTCATTCTGAGCAAATAGATTTTTTCAAACTTAATATATCTAGATGCTGTGTATTGTACTTCAATTTTTATTACAACATCATGAGTGTTTGAAGTATTAATGGTAGATGTAAGATATGGCAAGTCAACAAAAAGTCAATGTACTGATGGAGACTGGATTGTTATTATTGTTATTGTTATACATATTATTATTGTTGTTATTATTATACAGCCTATGTTATTTTAATGGCGAAATTAATTGATATAGATGAAATACATTCACTTAATTTTTATCAATTTTTTTTTTTTTATTTATATTTAATTATAATGTAATGATGATGAGGATGATGTTATAGAGATGATGTTTATTTCTATTGCTGTCGCTAAACTATCTTAAAATCTATTTCTATTGCTTTCCCTTCCTAATATATAAAATTTGAGTATTAAGTACTGGATATTCTAGGTTGTCGTACCTCAATTGGCATTACATCTTCGAAACTAACAGGTATATCTCTTCGTACATCAATTCGTATATCTTTATTGTCATCCAAATTTATCAAATCTTCCGGATTAATATGCATTACATCTTTAGTATCCATAAGTACTGTATCCTGAGTAGCTATTGGACTCTCATAGTCAAAAACAGTGGATGTTACGTCATCAATAACAGATTTTATATATTGAGTAATCGGGGGCGAAGTATTTTCAATACTATTAATGATATTGAAATCTTGTACTAAGCTTTCTTCATTCGCTGTCGTATCTGCAGCAGAGTCACCTTTAAAAATTTCCGACTCATTAATAAATGGTTCTGGAAGTATGTTTTCATAACTAATCGTACATTCTTCGTTTTCTTTTAAAATGTCACTATCCAAATTTTCATTTGATTCGATAATTCCATTTTCTACCTGTAATGAAATTTTAAATAATATTTTCCATAGCTACAGCGAATACCCATGACTTAGCATATCGTCGTTGTTACATTGCAATATTCAACGGTTATCACTAGTTTTTTCATTTTCCTTTACTTTTGATACGTGATAAACGTTAGTTAACTGTTTATCTCGCACGATTATCTTTATTTTTTATTCGTGATATCTTAGCCCATTATTTCATTATAAAATTATACGTCGAAACTTACCGCCTCATCGGGCACTGCAGATTCTTCTTCGAATTTCTTTATCATTCTCATTGCAGTTATTTGGCTAATCTCGGCTATACTTGGATTGAGAATGAACGAGAGAGAATCAGCGTTTAAGCCTTTATAAATATTTCGAATGACGTACATGTTTTGCAGATGGTTTTTGTTATTACATGTTTTGACAGTAGTAATATTATTGTCATTTTGAATCTCTCTAGGCGACAGCAGCGGATCATGTGATTCCAGTTGATGCCCATCTAAATTACTGGTGCTGCTAGGTAAATCTACATTCATAAACGAATGAAAATTTATAATTTCTGTATGCGCTTTTGCTACATTCGCACAAATTTATCAGCTTATATACTTTATATAATGCTCATGGAAATACCATTTACTAGAATGACACGTGAGGATGCCGCTCATTTTAGAATTAGTAATATAATATTATTCTTTATGCATTTTGCGGAGTGATTATAACTAAATTAAGTATGCAAATGATAAATAATAATTTAAACTTATCATAATAATTAAATTCTTTAGATTTTATTCATAACTGCGTCAATTTACCGAAATTTTTTTTAATCTCTGCTCAAATAAACATTTTAACAACTATTCATATGGAAACAAGATATTTTATTCATTAATTTAAAGGATTTCCCTTTATGCAACTAAAAACATTCTCTTATACTAGCAGTTTGAAAATTACATTCAATGGAAATATTATATATAGAAACTTACTTTTGTTATTTTCAAAAATTATAAGACATTTATAACCAATTGCAACCATAATATTTACATGGAACTCTCAGATAGCAATAATTTCATTATTCGGTTAATAAATAAATAAAACATTTTTTTTCTTTTTTTTTTCTTTTTTTTTTCTTTTTTTTTCTTTTTTTCAAAGACTTGTAAAAATTATAATTTCTATCGGTGCAATATTTAACTGAGAACATGTTACGCCATTGTTTTCTAAACGTACAGTTTTTTAGTTTTTATCATGATAGCAAACATATTTGACTTGTTTCTTTACAAAAGATTACAAATATTATATATTTATTAAATTAATATTACAGAATTATTTAATCTATATAATAAACTTAATAATAAATAACTAGGTAGATACTACTTTAGTTTACAATAAAATAAAATAAAATAAAATAAAATAATTTATTTTATTTCAATAAAATTAACCCAATTTTATATCTACTTTTAAATAATTTAACGCTATTACATTAAATGCGTATAAAAATATAATGAAAAACAAAAACAAAACAAAAAACAGTCAAGTTAAAGTATTGTAATTTTCATGAAATTTGTTAATTTACTGATTTTTAATATTATTTTTTTATTTCACTAAGAATATTAAAGGTAATAGAAATAAAATTTCATCATTAAAGGAGAGTACTTATATTGCTTATATACATATATATATATATATATATATATATTTTTTATTTTTTTTTTTAATCGTATTCAAGCATTATGTAGAGAATGTTAATATTGCAAAACAGTAATTATAAAAAAGAAACTCACTAGTTTGATCATGTTTAGAACAATCATCAGCCATTTTTTTAGTTAGTTGTTCAAATTGTTCTGATATTGATTGTAATTTCTCTAAATCTTGAGGTACATTAGTGTATTCGTAAATGGAATTTTTTTGGCCCATCTTTTATAACCTCTTCTTACTCCACACTGTATAATTTTCTTATTTAAATATAAATGTATTACAATTATTAGATAATCATAACTAAAAGAATTTATTAATGTGTTATAATTATCATTTTCTCGAAGCCTCTAACATGCTACAAATAATATATAACTGTTTATTTAGTAGATTAAGGTTTTTCCAAAAGGGAGTTTAGTCTTTAAGAGATGAATTAACTGAAGTTTGCTATGTATCGAAAATATCTGCAACTACTATTCTAAACGATATTTATAGATAGAGATTTTATAATTATTATACATTTAGAAAAATGTATAAGTTAATGTAAAAAACGGTGGAAATATAGTTTTTAATAATAAAATGCATGTACACGTAAACAGCAAATATTAATTTTTTTAAAGCAATTAATACGGATTTTAGTATCTTAGTAACGAAACTCATTATAAAAGAGTACGAAATGACGGAATTTTCATAAAAAGTCAATTAATAGATTAGAATGCGTAACAGACATTGTGATGAATCAGCTTGATCGCTGAGAATTATAAGCTTTTATCATAGGTGTAAAGGGCAATGTTAATAAGGTAAGATAAACATTTGCTTTCATTTCGATTATCCCGCCGACTTCGGCATCAACGTTGGATACACACCCACACTTAATCGATAATAAGCTCTCCTTCGCGTGGACCCATGAAATAAAGCACCGATTTATCACGAGCTTGTTCGAGGTGCTCATTCGTGGCGAGCAATCGCCAAATGGAAGCGGCTCGCATTGGCTAAAAACAGAAGTAAAGATGGGGGCGTATGAAGGGATTGGCCACCCAAGTCTTTTGATGCCTCGTCAAATAACTTTGCCAACTCGAAATCTAACTTCTTTGCGCGCACAAATATGCGCATTGACGAAGAGAGAGAGAGAGAGAGAGAGGGAGAGAGAGAGAGAGAGTGCATTTTGTCATTTTATACTTTTTAGCTGGGAATGTGCGACGAGATATACAGGGAGAAAAAAATTAGGGGATGAAAGAAATTGAAGAAAGTAATACGAAAAGTCACGGTTACGTATTTCAAAGATATTTGTTTTTGAAATACCAGTTATTACAACCAATTTTATATAAAATCTTTCATACCAATACACGTGTACATAAATTAATATTAATTATTATTTAGATGTTTTAAGACAAATTATATACATAATATGCGCATAATTTATTTACATTAAATGTATTGAAAATTCAATCACTTACCTTTAACCGACGTAAGCCATGAAAATTTATCTTTTAGAAAGACAAACACTAATATGAGTTATAGTTTTAAAAAATTTATATTCTTAGGTATTATTATGAATTGTTTATTCATAATTAATTATCTCGTATAATTTAAAGGACTATTTCCTTTACAGTTGTATAGATATAGATTTTCTTTGAATCATCTACAGTTTACAAATATGAATTTAAGCACAAAATCTTTAATTAATAACTATAAGGATTTAGTTATTTTCGTTATTTATCACTTTTTATGCAGTTTCAATATATTTTCTTTTTTTTTTTTTTAATACATTTAATTAAGTTTCGAATTTCTTTTGTTTCAGGTAGGCAAAAGAATATAAAATTTAGCGATTCATTCGTCCGAATAGTTCTTGGTAACGTTATTATTTGACATAAATTTTTATATAAATAATATATGTATATATACTTGCATGTAATTTCTATTATAAAATATCATTAAATATATATAAATCTCTGTGGACTAAATTAATCCACTTAATCTTGACAGCTTTAATCACAAAATTCGTAAACTTGAATTTTAAAGCACATCTGACCTTTTGACAATATATGAGATGACGGAAAGTACATAATATTCCTTGAACATCTCATTAATATAGATAGTAAATCATGGTTATGTGCTTGGTTTATACATTTTTAATGAAATAGTATCTTTAAATACAAAGCGATAAATCCAATATAATTAATAAATACATATTACATTGATTACTTTAATTATTTCAGTTTTTTTTTTTTGACTAAAATTAAATTAAATATACATAAATCTTATAACAGTTTCAATTCAAACTTTGTCAATATGAAGTGATTTTAGAATATATTAATATGTTTATAAAAAAAAAATCAAAATATGTTATTCTAATATATAATGACTAAAGTTACAATAATTATCATCATTTGCTTAGAATTCATGTTTATTTACTCACATAAATGAATTTAATTGAAAAGTTTTCTTTAGAACAAAGTGACATTTTTATAGAACTTTACAATTTTGATTCCAAAGAGTATATAAGAATTATATAAAAATAATGGTGCTGCAACTCTGAAAGGAAAATACTTCATACGAAAACAGTTTTAGGGTCAAAAACTTTCTCAGTTCACTTTTCATGTAAAACAAAAATTTTAAAAATTTATAATTTTACACTTGAATTATATATAAAACTTTTTATAACACATTTTAAAAGAATGGTATAAATGTTAGATTTTTCAAGAACATAATTAAGGACAAGTAATAAAATTTATAAATAAATTGTTTAAAAAATGTGTATTCATTATTGAAGAAAAAATTCTTATGCAATTATGTATAAAATATTCTTTCAAATATGTACTTTTAATAATCGATAACAATTTTTACAAAATTGTTTAAAAAAATGATGTTTTTAGTAAAAGACGTTCAAGTTTTTTTTTATTACAATATTTTATTTTTATTTATTTACAATTTACATTTACAATTTCATTACAATATAACAAAATTACAATACAGTATAATACAATAAAAGTGATTTGCAATTAGGAATAATAGATAAATATAATATGTTAGGCATAATTAATGTAATATTATATTTTATAAACCCTTAACTATTTGTTTTTATTAAATCATTCAATTTTTGTTTAATTTTTGAGAAATTTAACATATACATTAGTATATTACATATTACATTATTCATATTTCATTAAAGATCAAATTCAAAAAGTTTTAAACACAAGTTGCATTGAATTTACGTAAATGTTTTAACAATTTTAAAAATAAAAACTTGAAATGAAATATTCATTAATACAAAATGAAAAGAAACTTTCTTTACAAAGGAAAGTTAATCTAATAGTAGATTATTTTTAGTTTTAATTCGATAATTTATTTGTAATCCAAATCTCAATTGATTTGTTTCGCAAAGCTTAATAATTTCATTTTAATAACATTCAATTAGAAACTTAAGCTTCAGTTGCCTTAAGAAAGATAAATCGAATATGTAATACCAATAAATAATTCAGATACACAAATTGTTTACGGGGTGCTCTTGTAACAAAGTAGGCAATTAATTTACATTAATTTATTTAATGTAAGTTAGACAACAATCCAATTAATATTTTAAAGTTATCAAACGTTCACGCTAAACTTCTTAACGAAAAAAAAAAAACAAAAGTAAACTTATATAACAGCTTACTTATATTAAAGTACCTTCTTTAAAAGATCAAATACTCATAACCATTTATATATATATATATATATATATATATATATATAGGAAACAGTGTTCATAAAGTATTTAATTATTTTGAAAATGTGCGTACAGTTGACATCTTTCAAAAGCTTAGAATATAATTAACTAACTTGACTATTGTTTAATAAAATATTTGACTTATAGGTTATATTATTAGATAATCAATTAATCCTATAATTAATTGTATTATTAATAGTATTTTTTTAACATTATTTTAACATCATCAAATTATATTAATAATACAGTAAAAATGAATGATAATGGCAATGGTTAACGTTAAATTAAAAAAAAAAAAAAAAAAAAAAAAAAAAAGAACAATACAGAAATAAGCATTTTTTAATAGTTACCAATATTAATTTCACGTCATTCGATTAATTTCAAATATTTGTTTTATAAAAAAGAAAAAACAAAAAAAAAACTAAAAAACACAGATGAAATATCAACACGAATGAAGATTTGATCTTGATAATTTTGATAAAATTCAAAATTTACAGGTAATTCATTATTAAAATACATGAAATTATATAATGAAAATTGTATATTTTTTTACATGCTAATTACACGGTTATTATTCACTGAAATGAGAAAAAATATATACGTATAGCGAGTGCATAACGTACATGTTATTGCAATATTTTAAACGAATTTTATATTTAGAACAGAATTCAAAGAGAAATTCTCGCTTTTACTCATGATTTAAAATCGTAGTACACGATAAAGAAGCTTTTGTTAAAATTTAAAGGCGTCACTTGTTTAGGCATGCGAGAATATCGAAATTATGACTACATAATTTTCATTCATGAAGCTTGTTTAGCAAGACGTTGTGTCACGCGATAAATCTGCGTTCTAATGCTATGAATAAAGTAGTACAGTATATCATTAAATTGTAATAATAGTTCACGATTAGAGCTTCTTCTCGGATATAAATATATTTGGTGCATTGCACATTTTTGTATTTATTTTTAAAGAATATTGTTTCAAAACTTAATTCGTTTAAACGTCAATTTGTAGAAAGTTGTTGAGGAATATTTTAGAATGCAATTCTGCAATTAAAATAACAGTATATTGAGCTCAATAAGCGGCTTGATGCAGTAAATGATTAAATTGCATATAATAATCGTGTGACGAAGTATATCGGTAATGTTTGCATACAAGTTTAACGCAGCTTCCGTGTAAGACAAATATGCGGTATTAAGCAATTATTTTAAGAAATTAATAAAATTATCTTCCATTTTATTTACGCATAAATTTAAGTGAATTCAAACTATGCGAATAAATTATTATCGATGACTATTCGTACTATGCATTTGTGCACTTTATTTGTGCATTTTATTCTAAATCAAACGAAATGTATTTAAGTTATAGTATTAACAATAAGATTTTTTTTTTTTTTTTTTTTTTTTTTTTTTTTTGATATAACGAATTTCTATCATCAGGCACATATGCATACATACATACATACGTATAATTTTATCTCTATATATATATCTCTATATATAGTTATAAAAGT